AGTTTGAGATCAGATATGGCTTTTCCTCCTTCCTTCCTACTTTTTTCACTATTTTCCTTGAGATTCTTGACCCTTTATTCCTCTAGGTAAATTTTGTCATGATTTTTTCTACTCTTGTAAAGTAATCCTGTGGTAGTTTGATTGGTGTAGCAACTGAGGCAATAATTGTAAAACACTTAGTAGAGTGCCTGGCACATAGTAAATGTTATACAAATGTTAGCTATGACAATAATTATTATTACTATTAATTATAGATCATTATAATATTCTACCGGAGACCTCTTGCTACAGACACTAAACTATTAACAACTACTAATTGAGTCTGGTCATTCAACAAATTCTGAATCCATATGATAGATTTCTTTTTCTGAGATTGGGTTGTTTAAATTTTCTATCCATTTTATATTTTCTAGATATTCATCCATTTCATTTGTCAATTTTATTGGTGTATAGTTGAGCAAATTAGTTTCTAATGATATCCTTTGTTTCTTCATTTATTGTGAATTGTCCCTTTTCATTTTTGATACTGGTAATTTGGGTTTCCTTTTTCTTTACAAATATTATCTCATTTAATCCTTACTACAATCCTGGAAGGTAGGTGCTATTATTATCCCCATGTAACAGTTGAGGAAACTGAGGCAAAAAAGGATAAAGAGATTTGCCCAGGGTCAAACAGATAAGTGTCTGAGGCCACCAGGTAAATTAATCCATAGTATTCCCTTCATTTACAAGTTTAGTAATCCAGACGAAAAAGGAAATGATGTTAGTCTGGCATTAAGATGACACCTGGCTGACTCTTTGTCATCATCACTTCTCTTCTTAGATAGTCAACAACCATCTCTATTTAAGGATCCTTTATTTTCTTACAAATCTAAATGAAGTTCCCTGGCTTTTAGTTTTCAAATTCTGTTCTCTAGCTTGGTGCTTGTTTATCTTTATGACATATAATGCTGTCCCTTGATTTTAGATAGAGACTGACTACATTATTAAGGAAAGACTATTTCTATGCTTTTAAGAGTTTTTAAAAAACTGATTGTATTTTCTGAAAATCTTTTTCTGGACCTATTGACATAATCATGTAATTTTGATTGCCCTTGTTAAATAATATATGTTATGTTTATTGTTTTCCTAATAGTGAACCAACTTTGCATTCCTGGTGTAAATCTCATCTGGTCATAATATATAATCTTTTTAATGTGTTGCTGCAGCTTCTTTGCCAATATTTAATTAACAACTCTACATCAATATTCATTAGGAATATTGGTCTACCGTTTTCTTTCTCTGATTTGTATACTTCTGGTGTATGTATCAAGGCCTTATTTATAGCATAGAGAAAATTTGGTAGAATCCCTTCCGTTCCTATTTTGCAAACAGTTTATGTAATATGGGAATTAATTTTTCTTTGAATATTTTATAGAATTCAGATGTAAATCCATCTGGTCTTGGTTTCCCACCCCTTGGGAATTCATTTATAGTTTAATTTATTTTTCTGTGATTGGGATATTTAAATTCTTTACTTTGTTTTCCCTTTAATCTGGGCATTTTATATTTTTGTAGATATTTATTTTACTTACAGCATCAGTTTTGTTGGATAGACTAACAAAATATTTTTCTACTAATTTCCTTTATTTTTTCTTCATTTGTTTTGATTTCTTCTTTCTATTTTTTTTTATATTGAAAATCTGGTTCCCCTACTTTCTCTTTCTCAATGACTAGTTAATGGTTTGTCTGTTTTGTTTTTCCCCCCAAACTAGATTCTAGTTTTATTTGCCAATTCAGTGGGAGTTTTTTGCTTTTAATTTTGTTAACCTCTTCTTTGATTTTCGGAATCTCGATATGATTTTCTCCCAAAATTTATTGGCTTTTTGGTTATAGTTATTATTTTTTGTCCTATAGCCAATTTATTGATTTATTCTTCTTTTATTGAAGAATTCTGGAGAAGAGAGATCCTGAGCTTTCTAGTTTCTAGTTTTGAGGAAGAAAACACAAGGATCTGGACTTTCTTTCAGTCCCTGAAGGGAGAGAAAGACCCTGGGAAGAAGCCTATATGTAAAGGAGCTGACAACTTGATCATGTCCCTATCCCAGTTCACTAGAGCCTTTGAGAATTTTTCCTTTGGTTGATATCTGAGTCTTTTTTGATTGAACTAAGATATTTTGCTCCCAATGGTAGAGCTGATTCTCTTTCTGTATTTTCTAGTATATATTCTCATCTGTATGCTTTCTCTGACATCTGTTTGTTATTGGCTCAGATAAATGTGCTTATTTGCTATTTTCTATGTCTCTTTATTATGGAGTTGGCATTTATTTGGTGGGAAGGGAATCAAGCCTTGGATATATAGCTTGGATCACTCCTCTGTTAAGGGATAGCAATGAGGAGTTCAGCATGAACTTCAAAATTATTAACCATAGGCTAACAATATTTAAGGGAGCAGATAGCTGTAATCCTTTCTTTGAGGAAAGCAAAATGATCAGCTTTTGGCCCCAACCTCCTATTTCCTCTCCTGCCAAGAATTAAAGGTTCCCTGGGGAAAAGAGGCAAAGAGAGAACTCTAGAAATATCTCTTCATGACTCCCTGTGAGCCACATCTAGAAAGACCCAGGTGGACACACACACACACACACACACACACACACACACACACACACACCCACACCCCCCCCTTATAAAAGCAATCTGCTTACATTCACTACTCCTTTTTTCTTCCTCTTTCCAAATCCCTCATCACAGATTCTTAGCCTTTCTTTCCCTTTAGTTTACTTTTCATACTCTACCCTCTGAATGTAGAGCTTGTTTTGTTTATGCTTAATTTTCCCTGAATCTACTCTCCTTCTTAATTCCTTCCATCTTGCTGCCTGTCCCTGCCTGATTCTCTGGTAAACAATGTATTTCTACACCAAACTATTTGTGTTATATGTATTAAATTCTTTTTTTTCTGTCTCATATGAAAGTCACATGTATAGGCTGTTCCTACCCTTCCATATGTTGATTATGTGATAAGTTCTGCTCCCTTCCTTTCTCATTCTTCTGTAATCTTTTCCTTTCCCTTCTTTTTTCTCTTAAGATCACAAAAAATATAACAAAAATGTCCCTAGAGCCTCTGTCTTATTTACTCCCTAATATTTGAAAATATTAGGATTTTGAGGGGATTTTTTCCCTCCCCATTAGAATATAAATACTTTGTCATATAATCCTTTCTAATTGCTCAAATATATATAATATTTTCTTTCTCTTGTCTCCTATATTTGTAATTTGGGATATCTACTCAGCTCTGACCTCTTCATCAGGAATACTTGAAAGTCCTCTATTTCATTAGAGTTCTATTTTACCCTTTGTAAAATTATATTCAGAACATTTTTGGCTGTAAGCCCTTCTTTTGTATTGCCTTCTGGAATATTGTATTCCAAGTTCTCCTACCCTTCAACGCTGTGGCTACCAGGTTTTGTACAATCCTAATTATGATTCTTTCTTTCTTGTTGCTTGAAGTATTTTTTGTTTGATCTGGAAAGTCTAGATTTTGAAGGCTTTCTTTTCTGGGAGCTTGCCTTTGGGGACTTCTTTTAGGAAATGGATGGTGTATTCTTTTTATTTTAACTTTGCCCTCTAGTCTTAATAGATTAGGGAAGTTTTTATTCAGGATTCTTCCATATATAGTATAGTCAATCCTCAATTTTCCTAGAAAACAGCACAAAAATAAAAAATGTGAATGTTGATACATTGAATCTATGGGAAATAAGGGGCTAGGTTCCTGCAACCCCCTAAAGCTATAGTATTTTTTTCTTTTTTTTAATTAACGAATTTATTTTTAGCTTTCAACAATCACTTCCATAAGCTTTTGAATTTTAAATTTTCTTCCCCTCCCTTTCACCTCCCTCCCCAAGATGGCATGCAATCTGATATAGGCTGTATATATACATTCTTATTAAATATATTTTCATGTTGGACATGTTGTCAAGAAGAATTAGAACCAGTAGGAGAAACCATAAGAAAGAAGAAACAAAACAAAACAGAAGAAAAAAAAAGAGCAAATAGTATGCTTCGATCTGCATTCTAACTCCATAGTTCTTTCTCTGGATGTGGTAAACTGTAGTATTCTACTAAAGGTGGCTGAAAATGCACTTTTTTGCATACAATTCTTTACAACAAACATTGGTCCTGATAATATGTATTTTTCCTAACATATTAACCATGAAATTATCCATAAAATGCAATACAAAAAATAAAATTGAAAACATACAAAACATTTTTCTCACTAGTAATTCCCTAGAATTCTGTGACCTTTTTGCTAACATCTCAGTTAAAAACATTTCGTATTCACTTTTCGTAACATGTGAAATCTACAATACCATACATAGTTTCCTCCTTTTTGTGAAAATAATCAATTATTGAATGTTAACACCAAACTTCTGGCCAACAGTGGCTGCAAGACATTCTGGAAGGAAGTTTATCTAACACCTTCAACTAAGCCACATCACTGACTTTGCTCACTTGGGCTTAGAATCCAAAGGACTTGAACTATGCTTTGGGGGCATAATTGCAACACAAAACTTGAATTTTAAAGGCAGATGATGAAAATATGCAATGAATGCATGGGAAACTCTTTATAAAAGTAGGATGAACAAGACTAATGAGGCACCTTGAAGGACACCAGCTGCTCCAGAGGCTTGCATACATCATACCTCTCATTTTTTTATCTACTGCACATGCCTGCAAATGTGTGTGGTTGTCAATGTAAAAGTGAAAATGAGATTACCAATAAAATCACACGAATCCTTGAAGTCACATAAGTTAAATGCATGAATGTTGAAGATTGGCTGTATATAGATTTGGTTGACATTTTCAGGTAGGCCAATGATTCTAAGATTTATCTCTCCTGTTTTTCAGAGCATTTGTTTTTTATATGAGCTACTATACATTTTCTGTATTTTTTTTTTTTAATTTTTTAAAAAACATTTTTAAACCTTTCTTTTTGCTCTTCTTGTGTTTCTTGTTGTCTCAGGGAGTCATTGATATTGATCCATTCTGATTTCCAAGGGGTCTGTTACTTAAGTAAGGTTTACACTTCCTGCATTAAGCTGTTTATTTTCTTTCTACTTCTTTCTTCTAGATCTCATTTCCTTTATACTTCTTTCCACTAAAGCTATCATTTTATTTGATCACTTTAAACTTCTTCATTTTTTTTTCTGGGAATATAGTAGAGCTTATGGCAAATCTATAGTTGTCTTTTAGGTTTTGCTTATATAAATAGCATGGCATTTATCTGAGGCCTGCAATGAGTACTTTGTCCTTCTGGGACCTCAAGGAGCCAATTGCCAGCGTACTGTATTGGGACAATCTGATCCAGGGAAGTCCTAGAGTGTTGCCATCCAGGCCCAAGTACTCAAGCTTCTGAACTCCAGACTATGATCAGAGCAACAGTGGAAAATTCCAGTATTCTTGGCTAGATGCTTCTCTAAATTCCTGCCTCTCTGTCCCAGGTTCACATTTTCAGCCTTTAATGTTTCCCCTGCCTTACTCCTGGTCTATGCTGAAGGGCTTTCATGCACTGTTACCCGGTTGAGCTTTTCTGGCTGGACCAACAATAGGTGAACAGGGATACTCACAGGCTTCTGGCAATCTCTTTGTGTGGATCTGGGCTGGAAAAAGACACAATGCAGTTTCTTCTTTAATTTCTTCTTTATCATTTCTCTTTCCAGTATTCTTTTAAAAAAAATTCCTTATTGGAGTAGTTGTGGGAAAGTTGTGCTCTGTTTCCACTCACCACAGTGAAGACAGTCCCTAACTGATGACTCGTTGTGAGGGAATGTTGTTGAAGAGATTTCTAGACAGGGTAGTATTCGCATCTTTCACTTGCAACATCAGCATCGTTATTGCTGCATACAGAAGGCCCTTAATTCATAAGCCTACTATTCTCCATGACAATCTTGAGGGAGGGACCGTGAAGACATCTGTACAATGGTTCAGAGACAGTTCCTGTTGAGGGAGAATATAGGTTAAAAAGTTAAACACAAACCCAAAGAAAACAGGACTTTTCTCTCTGACTTCATAAAGGTAATTTCAATAGCAAAAGGAGATTTATAAAGAGATCAAAGTAGCCTTACAGAGAAATCATTCTCACAATCCCAGAATGCCAGAGTTGTAAGGGACTGCAGAAGCCATCTAGTCAAGGCCATTCATGAACAAGAATCCACCATACCACGTACCTGACACGTTTTTGTATAGCCCTTGCTGAAGGCTATTATTGAAAGAACCCACAGCTTCTGGAGTCAGTCCCCTCCACTTTGGAACAGCTCTAATTTTTGTTCTATTTTCCTTTACATTGAACCAAAATCTACCCCTCTGTACCCACAATTTCTAGTTCTACCCTTTAGGGCCTAGCAGAATAATAATAAGAATAATAATAATAATAATAGCAAAAACAACAACAATAACAATTATATAGCACTTACTACATACCAGGCACTGCGCTATTCAGGACTTAGTACCTCTAGTTATGTACCTGAAGGTGCTTGAAGTGCAAGAAGTATATCTTGTAGTTAAAAATAGTTTTAGGCGTATAAAATTTATTAAAATGTATTTTATTTTATAAATATATTTTAATATTTAAAATTGGTCTTAATAAACTTAAATTCAGTGTTTAAAATAAAATATAATTTAAAATTTTATTTTAGGTGTGCAAAATATATAAGGAAGAAGCAAGGTGGCTCAGTAGATAACGTACTGGGCCTGGAATCGGGTAGAACTGAGTTCAAATCCAGCCTCAAACACTCATAAGCTATGTGACCCTGGAAAAGTCATTTAACCTCTGTTTGCCTTAATCCACTGGAGAAGAAAATGGCAAACCACTCTAGTAACTTTGTCAAAAATACCCCAGATGGGGTCACAAAGAGTCAGACATGGCTGAACAATACTAACAATATATGTAAAAATACATAATAAAATATATAAAAACAAATTTTAGGTCCCATTAATCATATGTATACTTATTAAGTTCTAAAAAGTTATTATATGTATTGAGGAGAACTTACTCTCTAGCAAGGGTTGATAGTCTTGCTTTCCAAGAAAGGGTCAATAATAACCTGGATGTTTACTGTCCAAGGACTAGCCTAACTAAAGAGAGAGACTCACCGGCCGCTTGGCTCCAGAGTAATCACTCTTCCATATGACAGCTGCACATGACACATTCATGAGCTTAGATTGAAAAGGGACCTGAACAAAAAAGGCAGAACCAAAGACCAGAAACTGAAGGTGAATAAAAAAATTATTTCCAGGAAGGCTCTAAAGACAAGACCAAATTGAAGCTGACAGTGAATACCAAAAACAATAGGAGAGGTGTTTTTTTTTTAAAGTAATTTTGGAAGATATTAGGAACAAGAAAGGAAAAAGACAAATACTTGGAGAGAGGGAGCGTTGACTAGGGTGGCGATAATGAACACAAAGATGGAAGGCTAAACTAGTCAACTAATTTTTTTAAAACCAAGGACGATGATTGGTACAATCTGAAGGGTATAACAAAAATGGTGAAATTATACTTAAAATAAATAAAATTACATCTAGGAGAAATATTACACCTATTGTATGTAAGATACAGATGTAAGAGATTACCTCTAAGATATTACATCTTTGATACTAAATCTAAGATAGATAAAGAGATGATAAGACAGCTGCCTTCCGTAAATTCAGTTTACCAAGTTCTGGATGAATTCCATCCCAGGAGAATGAAAGAAGAATCTGTGGATGTTATTGCTCAAGTGTTGTTGATACTTCAGGATTTTTGCGGAATCAAAGAGTTGCTACAGGACTGGAGATGGGCTGGTGTTAAGATTTTCAAAAAGGAGAAGTCTTCATCTATTGATTAGCCTGGAAATTTACAGAAAAATCCTAGACTGGATTATTTTTAAAATGGTTCAAAAGTACTTATGTGAGCACTAAAACCCAACAAATGTCACAACACAACAAACAAAGGTCTATACAAGTAGATTCAGAACTAGTTAATGAATGGACTGAGACAGAGATTAATGAATCTATATATCTCCCTTGATGAAGGTCTCTCTAGTGAATTGCCACAGAGCTTTTTCATTCCAGTATTTTTATCAGTAGTGAAGATATAGATGACATGCTTATCATATTAGTGTGTGACATGAAACTTGGAGGAATAACTAATATATTGAATGACAGAATTGGGATGCAAAAAAGGTAGCAATAATGCAGAAAAATGCACAGAATCTGACATAATGACATAATCAGACATAATCTGATATATATGGTAAGAGAAATTATTATTAAAAACCAATTAATGTTAGGGAGATCCAGAGTTTTTTTCCCCATTTTTATTTCCTCATTCAAAACCCAGTCCTTGTGAGGGATATTGCTAATAGATGAGATTGCCCAAATCCTCTGGGTACATGCTTCTTGCTCTACCCAACTAGAAGATTTTACAAAGAGAATCTAATCTAGGTGAATTCCAGCTCATTGTATTCTACTTGGGGCAGAACTGAGTGGATCCCTTTTGTCTAGACTGCCCACAGGTGGTGGTCTGGGTTTAGAGTTAGTCTCTTTGTCCAAGAGAGACTTGATCAAAGTCATGTTTCCAGCCCCTCACTAGAATAAACCAGTCTCTCATTATAATAGCCATTATCTCATTAATTGTTAACCAATCAGATTTCTGCCTGTAGGGTACACTCACTCTTCCAAGTAAGCATTGAGTGGCCACCATGATTCTTTGGTCCCCTAGAGTGCTACTGACCTCTTTAATTAATTATTTAATAGCCATAATTAATAAAATGATTGTTAATTATCCAGAAAGTATGTCTTTCAAACGTTTCATCCACCACATGAGGTTTAGAAGAGATAAATGTAAAGTCCTACATTTGGGTTAAAATAGTGAATTGCCCAAATATTGGATAAAGACCCTGCTAAACAATATTTCATGGGGAAAAAAAAAAGAGCAGAGGCATTTTCTTTACTGTAAACTTAATACTATTAAATAATGTAAGAATAGCATCCTAAAGAGTTAAAAATAATCTTTGGCTACATTAATAGAATTTCAGTGACTAAAACAAGAGAGCCAATAGTTCCACTTTATTCTCTCCTGGTTAGTATGTATGTAGAATGTTCAGCTCTAAATTTTGCATTTTAAGACGTTAACAAAGTGAACTAGAGGAGGATAGTGAGTTGAAATGCCTTTGGGAAATTTTAAAGTTCTTTTAATCTAATCCCAACTGACCAATCAATCAGCATTTATTTAGCACTTACTACGTTCTAGGCACTGTGCTAAGCACTGGACATGCAAATATGAAAATGAAATAATCCATACTTGCAAAGAATTTATGTTTGATTCTTAAGCTTCCTATAAAAGCGAAGTCCCATGTTTTAAATACTAACATTCTACTGGTGTTGTTAAATGGCAGCAGGATATGGAATACAAATTAGAAGATTGTAATACCCAGAAGGTAATGGCTAAGTTAAAAATAAGTGTGAATGGAATAAAGATAGAATCAATGTGGATCCCTAAAGAACTAGAGTAGAAGACATCATCAAGGAATTGTCTGAGAGGAAGAGGAAATGCTCACGTGGCAAAGATCAGGGGTGACAGATGTATAGCAGAATGTTCCCCTATTACCCTAGTAGTAGAAGGATAAATCTAAGAAGGCTTGAGTGTATTAAGCGCTTTCCTTCCTCTTCATGGCAAACTCAAGGGAGGACATGGAAAAGAGTTACAGTATGGCCACACATAGATGGATGGACATCTGTGTTGTTAAAGGGAACTTCAAAATTGATGGATCTCATTTATTAAACACGTACTATGTGCGAGACACTCTGTTAGGCAATGGAGATGCAAAGAAAATTAATCAACTGCTGTCTTCAAGAAGGTTATATTTTACTGGGAGAGGGTGATCAAATATATACATGTGTAAGCTTATAGAAAATAAAAACAAATGCATAATAATCTAACACACAATAAGAACTCAACATATACTCGCTGAATGAAATTGCTATCTGATCAACACAATGACTCCAGGATTCTGGAGGTAGATAAGTGGTACAGTGAATTCTGGTGCTGGGCTTGGAGTCAGAAAAACCTGAGTTCAAATATGGCTTCAGATACTTACTTGCTGTGTGACCCTAGGCAAGCCACTTAACCTCTGTCTACCTCAGTTTTCTCAACTATAAAATGGGAATAATAATAGCACCCCCTTCCCAGGGTGGTTGTAAGAATTAAACAAGATAATCTTTATAAAGTACTTAGTGCCCGGCATATAGTAGGTGCTTAATAAATGCTTATTCCATTCTATTCCATGAAGTCAGTACAGTGTCATCTGCCACAGAACCTCAATATGGCAACAGGATACAATAGAAAAAGTACTGTATACAACATAGCAGATGGCAAGATGCCCACATTGGAGAGGATCTGCTGTCGTGGTGGTTGGCTAAATGAAATGAAGCATGCTCTAGGGGTCTGGAGTTTGTTGAATATAGGGGGCTGAGGTGAGGATTGACTCACTCCTTATTCCAGGAAGCTCTTGAATGAGTCTCACATCTGCAGGGACTACCCTTCTCAGGGTGGGAGTGGAACAAAGTCTCTAGTAGTCAGTGGAGCGGCAGAACAGATGAACATTTGCTTTGGAGGAGGGACTATCTCATCTGAAGTTACCAATATCATTGAAATCATAACTGGACCCTATTCCTATTATAAAAAAAAGATCAGCACCAAACAAGAAACACAGATGATGAATGTGGCAATGTAACCTCAGGACCTCTGGCCTTTGCCATCTACTGCACTGTGGCAGTAGACCTTTGTGCCTACTCTATCTGACTTTGTTCTGTGAGTCATCTCCCCCAGTTAGAGTATGGCTTCTCAAAGGAGGTGTGATCTTAGCTGGGTCTTGAAGGAATGCAAGAAAGCTAGGATGGAAAGGATTCCAAACTTGGGAGAAGGCCAGTGACAATGCATGGAGATGGGAGATGATGTCTTGTATGAGGAAGAGCGAGGAGCCCAGTATCACTGGATAGCAGAGTAAGCAGTGAGAAGTAACATAAAAGAAGACTAGAAAACTAGGAAGGGCCCAGGTTATGTAGAGTTTTAAAGGCCAAAGAGAGAATTTTATATTTGATTTTGGAGGTAATAGAGAGCCACTGGAATTTATTGAATGGAGGAATGGTGGTAGGGTTTGGTGGGTGGAGGAGGTAATAATAAAATCAGACTGTGTCTTTAGAATAATCGTTTTGACAACTGAACGGAGGATGGACTGGAGTGGGGAAAAAAGAGGCGAGGAGGTCAACCAGAAGGCTGTTGTGGTAGTACAGGTATGAATTGATGAGGGCCCTTACTAGGGTGATGACAGTATCAGAAGAGAGAAAGGGGAGTATATGAGAGATATTATAAAGGTAAAATCAACAGGACATGCAACTGATTAGAGATGGGAGCTAGAGAGAGTGAGGAGTTGAGGATAACATATAGGCTGTGAGAGAAATTATTCTTTTTCTATTATTAATAACCAATTATTAGTAGATTAGTTATTGGTAGGGGTTTTTTTTCTCTTTCTATTTCCTCATTCAGAGACCAGTCCTTGAACTCTCAGAAGGACTGGGCAGAGGATGAGATTGGCTTAACTCTCATGGAACATTCTTTGGTGGGACTTCACCCAATTAGGAGAGCTTACTTCTGATCTAAGTGTAAAGAGAATCTAATCTAGGTGAATTCTAGACCCACTGTTCAATTAAAGTGGTCTAGGTGAAGATGGATTCTTTTAATCTAGAAAGTCTAGAAATCTAGAAAGTGGGAGGCAGCTGAGCCTCATAAAGCTCATCAGGAGAAGCTAAGGGCTTTCAGCCCATCTCTTTGTCCGACCCTTCATTGATTGTTTACCAATCAAGGTTGATCTCTGCCTGTTGGGATATCCACTTTTCCAAAGGTATTTAAATATTCAGAGACCTTCATGCAGGGTCTTTGGTTACTGAGAGAAACCACTGACCTCAATTTATTATTTGCTAGACCAATTCATAAGTTGATTATTAATTCTCTGGCTCTCAAACTTTTCATTCCTCTCAGTTGTGAGCCTGGCTGACTGAAGTATAGTGATACCCTTGAGAGTAGTAGGGAAGTTAGGAAGAGGGGAGAGTTTGTTTGGGGGAGGAGGAAGATGAGTTCACTCTTAGACATATTGAGTTTAAGATATCTACAGGACATTTTCCTTCAAATTGGAAATGAGGCTGGAGGTTAAGTATTATTATTATTAATATTAGATTAAGTAGATCTGAGAATTGTCAGCAGTAGTATCAAACTTAAATAGAAATAGATCCCTCTGAGTCACATATTAACTTAGAAAACCACAAATTAACATTATCTATGCTGAATCATATTTTTATTTTGTTAAATATTTCCCAATTACATTTTAATCAGGTTGGGAGTGCTTGGCCCATAGGTGGCTTATTTCAGGTACCTCTGATGATTAGCATCACCATAGTTGAACCCATGGGAGTTGGGATAACTAAGAGAAATAGCATATAGGGAGAAGACAAGAGGGCTCAGGACAGAAACTTGGAGGAGACCCATGGTTGTTGGACAAAGAACACTGAGAAAGGAACAGCTAGAGAGGAAGGAGAAGAAACAGGAAACAATATTGTCATAGAAACTTGGAAGAGAGTATCAAGGAGAAAAGCATGATCAATAATGTCAAAGGCTGTGGGAAGATCAGGAAGGATGACAATTTATTCAAACGGTGCTTATTCTGTGAATTGAATGGAAGTACTAATCATCATAATGACCTCCTATGATACGAAGTGGATCTCACCATTGGAAGAGAAATAGACTTGGCATAGCTCTAGATTGAAGCCCAAACTCTAACCTGCACAA